ACCCCCACCCCAAAGTGTGGGCCATTCAAGAGGAATGGAGGGCACCGCTGACCAAAAGCTAAAAGGGCTCACAGAGATATCCAGCCGTGCTCCTGCTCAAAAGGGAGAGGACCTATTGGCATTCCTCCTGGGCAGAAGGCTGAAAAGGAGGACCTCTGTCTGGTTGCCCTGCCACAAAGGAGGACAAGGCACTGGGAAATGGAGGGCTTTTAAAGATAGATGGAGGACAGGCTTCAATGAAAGTGGAAACACACACACACAGATCAAGACCAATTCATGCTTCTTCATCTTGCTCACAATGGAGGACCTGTTGGAATGAAGGTTGAGATGTAGGACCTGTTGGAATGCCAGGAAAAGGAGGATGCCTGGTCACCTTGCAAAGAATGTGCCCACTGCAAAGAAGGACACAGTGTCATAAAATATAGGCCACTCAAAAAAATAATAATAATGGAGGACAGGACCAAATAAAAGGGAAAAAACACTCCTCTCAATCTACGTTCACTGCATCTGGTTTACTGACAGTGATGTTACCTATACTGGATTATGTTTGTTGTTGTTGCTGTGTGCCTTCAAGTAGTGGTTTGAGTGTTGGATTACAACTCTGGAGAACAGGGTTCGATTCCCAGCTTGTCCGTGAAATCCACTGACACATGCTCTCAGCCTCAGGGCAAGGCAATGGCAAACCCTGTCTGAACCAAGAAAACCCCATTATAAGTTTGCCTTAGGGTCACTATAAGTTGGAAAGAAGTTGAAGGCACACAACACTCATACATTATGATTGTTGTTGTTGTGTGCCTTCAAGTCATTTCTGACTTATGGTGACTCTAAGGCAGGGTTTTCTTGGCAAGATTGTTCACAGGAGCTTTGCCATTGCCTTCCCCTGAGGTTGAGAGTGTGACTTGCCCGAGATCACCCAGGGGGTTTCATGACCCAGCAGGGAATCGAACTCTGATCTCCAGAGCAGTGTCATCATGGGTAGGGTATCACCCAGTCCAGAGGGCTACCAGCAGAGGAGGCTTCCCTCTAACTCAGCAGCCTACCTCCCCTTCCCCAGCAACACTGACCAGATCCATTTGCCCCTCCTGCACCAAAGGGACCCAACCATGTGTCACCCCTCCTCTGGGGTGTCACCCTGTGCAGTCTGTA